ACGTATGTCGGGGATTCTACATAGGAAATAAAACGTTTGAAGAGGCATCGGAAATTATATTTCTGATCAGCTACGAAGAACGCGAACAAAAGTTCGGTGAGAATAGAAGCCTTTTCGTTTCGCAAAACGAATCCCGTGATGCGCCCGTGTGACTTCGCAAGAATCTTTGATTTCGTTTCGTCCTGCTTTCGCGAACTGCTGTCCTCGATTTTTCGCGTGACTCGCGACGAACGATTTTTTTGTACGTTACAATATCACAATGAATGCCAATCGAGGATGGATCGTCTCGCATAGTTCGTCCTCTTCTTTGCGCTCCTATCGTTCGTTATCGTAAACGAGAAAAGGTAAAACAAGAAAGAAGAAATAGAAAAAAAAACGGAGTAGTAATTATTTCGAGACCTGCATAACTCCGATCTACGATCTTGAGCGATGGAAAATATTCGCGGGAAGATAAAAGAAAAAGAGAACGGAAAGAAACGCGTTATCTGGTGACCGACCGGAAGCGCGTTCGAAGATCAAAATTCCCGACCGACCTCGTTCCCGTTTCGCGTTCGAAACGATCCAGGTTCTCGTTGGCTCTTATAATTAGAACTATCAGCTATATCCTCGTCTTAAAGTCAAGAAGGTGGATTACGACACGCAAGATGGACGTACTCGAAAAAGTTTTTAAATAATATTAACTCGTTCTTTCCCATCGCTGTGTTTTTGGAAACATTGCACCTCCAAGACTATATCTCCCGTTATTCATTCCGAGCGTATTCGTTTTCATGTACGACGTTATATCGTTGATCTCTAAGTTTTACGGATCATCGGTAGCAGTGATAAGTGAAACTGTAGGGGTAGCGAACTCCTCGTTTTAAGACACGAAGATATACATACTCCAAGTTCTCCCGCCTTTCTCAACCGATATGCGTACGTAATTTACGCGCGATGTTTCTCACATACCACCACATCCAAACTCCCCGTCTCTCTCTCTCTCTCTCTCTCTCTCACTCATACTATCATTCGCGCTTTGTTCTCGAGAAGAACGGTAATTCCTTTGTCTCTCACAGCGTACACCGTCGTACTTGCACGTTCTTAAAACTATCCCACCTTGTCGTTTAATTATATACATATAATATATAATATATATATATATATGTGTGTGTTGTGTGTATGTGTATATATATATATATATGTTGATGAATTACCAATTAAAAATTAGTAGTATCTATAGGGTCATCATCACAGCTAATTTCTTATCGTCTTTTAAATTAATATTATCGATTGGTTGATTATTCGTTTTGTAATTAGTTGGCCGTCTTTTTTTCTCGGCATCATCGCTTCTCGTCCACTGGACGTAATGTTTCTGTTTGTCGCCTAAAGGCTACTGAACGGTAGCGACCCAGTTGTTGGACAGAAAGCGTTTGCTTTCCATTCGATCGCGCGAAGATCATCGCTCGGACGGAGCGATCGTCACCTTCTACCTTCACTAGCTTTCTTTCTTTCTTTCTCTCGTTCGCGAGACTCGAGCAGGTAATTACGCGTACTGTTACAGTTGAAAGAGCCCAATTGTATTTTGTCAGATTTTTGCTCTCGATCGGAACGGAACAAAACGCCGTTGCCACCGAGATCTCGATAATAATTATTATTCCATTACGTTCATATACGCGATATATACAATTCATAATACGCATTGACCGCCTGCCTTCCGTTCACCGTATGTACACAGATTTCTTTTTACAGAACATTTACAATTGCCGTTTTTTAATTACAATTTTTCCTTCTCGAATCTCCTCGCGTTAATCAAGTATATCTACAGAATAATTGGCAAACGGGTGGGCGCGCATACGTACGATATAATGTTTCGTCGTTACGTTCGAACTTCATCTCCCATAGGACGGCAGTGTAAAAATTCGTTTACTCGGCGCCCTCGGAGCCGTTCTCCCCTCATTCAGAAAAAAATTTACCGCGCGCTCTGAATGCTTTACGTTCTATCCGTCGGATGCGTCTCGTTCCAACATTTTATACAAATACATACGAACCTAATCATTGAAATGAACGATCACTGGGAGAATACCGAAATACGGATTCCGAAATATCTTCAAGAGAAAAAGAGAGATGTTTAGCGCTTCCATCTTCGAATCGAAAACACCAAACGAATCGAAAATAATTATAATAATAATAATAATAATAATAATAATAATCATAATAATAATCATAACAATAATTATTCTCCTCGCATGAATATTTTCAATAAATCACGACATATGTTTTAAAGGATCTTTGCAACTTGTTTACCGTGTAGCAAACATAGTACTACTTCCTGTTTGTTGCGTATATGTAATATCTGTATCCCTGTGAAAACTGACGCGTCGCGAAGATACCCGCTCTGATAAAAACTATTCCCCGTCGAGACGTTTGGTCAACGTCGCACTTGCGATCCAACCCGATCTTTATCTCCGATTAGACGGCAACTATTCCGTTTCCGCCGAGAGCAGAGATTACTACTTCCCAACCGCGAGCGTACGGAGAAGTCGAGTCGTATTCCGAAATCGTTGACGAATGAAAGCGAAAAGAAATGGCTCGCGTCCGAGGGAATTTCTAAGAACCTCGAACCTCGTTTATACATTTACGAAAGATCTCCAACTCGAAAGAACTATCGGAATCGAAAGCATCGTTCGTTCCTGAATCACTAGAGTTAGAGCGAAAGAAACGGAAGATGGAAGACGGAGCTTGGTTCAAAGTTGGTCTTAACTTATTTACCTTCCTCTTTGCTCTGCCGTCGCACCACGAGAGAAATCAGATTCACGATGAAAACCGGTTAATATCACGACGACGACGGCAGTCAGCAACACTCGACTCTTAACTACATGTCCTTCGAAATCGATGAAATTCCGTCTTCATTTTACGTCAGCGGGCGGTACTTAATTTCTCTCGACCATCAACCATCGAGCATCAACCATTTCGCGCAATACCCGGCTGTCAGATGCTATAGATACGATTAAAAATTTCTCATCTTACAAAACTACGAACGCGAAGAAAGTAATCGAAAGTTCGAAATTGCACGTTTCCGTTAACTTTTCTCCCTTTCTCTCGCACCCTCCTTGCATACGTACGTAGGTACACGCTCATTTTGATCCTCGAGATCCGTGTAATATTTGTACATATGCCACCGGAGACTTACTTCGCGAATCATCCTAAAAACTATATAACTTACGAGAAAAAGAAAATAATTGCCGAAGGGAAAACGAAACCGATTCGATTTAAACGAAAAATAATGTCTCCTTCGATTAGGAAGGAGAGAAGTGTTTCCTGACTAAAAGGACTCTCGAATAATTTAGCAACGTTTGTCATCAAATGAAAAACAAAAAAGGAAGATAAAAGAAGAAACGGAAAAGAAAGCGAGAAGTTGCATGATTGAACGAAAATAAGAATCGATTGTTTCATTTTCCCGGAGTAAAGAAATTATAATATAAATTGTGGAAAAAAAAGTTTCATCCGAAACGAATAGATTCAAATAAAGGAAACAAAAAATTTGTCCAACTAGCGATTCCATTCGATATCGAAAAGTAACAGGTAAAAAAAAACTACCTTGCGAACGATATCGAAGCAATCTCGATCTAATTATGTACCTCGATCATATTAAATGTAATTTGAAATTCGACGCCTGTGGGAAACGTCAACAAAAATTTGGTAACATAAGCAGAAGTATTGCTTAATCGCGAAAGAAATACGTGGCAATCGTTCATAGGACGTGAGCATTGGATCATTCGTTCGGGCAATTGTTCCTCAATCATCAGTGGACGCATTATATAAATGTAATTAATTAAAAGAAAAGAAAAGGAAAACGATTAAACTCATTTGTATGCACACTGAAAACTCGTCGCTCAAGTCTTGATGCTTCGCGGAACTTCTCGCGAAGCTAAAAAACGAGTAAGACTATCTTCGATAATAGCGGAAGATAAATAAAGGAACCAACAATTTTGCCTTGCCCCGATAAATAATCTTGAGAAATAATTTGATTATCCCTTGAAGATGCCGTACCGAGCAAACAAATTTCATCGATAATATTCAACGCCCGACAAAATCGATAACTGCTAAAGAGCAGTAGATAAACGTTCGTGACAACGCTTCAAGTTCATGGTTCGTGTTGAAGATATAAAAAAAATGTCTTTCAATGAAAAGAGAGAAGAAAAAAATAGTAATTGGCATACGCTCTGCGACAAAATGTAAATATGATTCGAATATCCGCTATGGAAAGAATTCCGGAAAAGAATAAAACTTACTTTCACCATATCATTGACGATGCTCTAAATAGCAATTTTGCGTTTAAGAGAAAAAAACCTGTATATATATAACTATAGTTTCTAAAAATGGCTAACGCAGGCTCGCCTACATATGTCTTCGTACCATTTCGTCAAACGGATAATACAATCGTGTTCGTGTAGTGTGTGTATGTGTGTGTATACGTGTATGTGTCTGCGAGTTAATCATATATAATAATAATAATCTAAAATACATACGTTTATATCTTCATAGACGGCGCATAATAGAATCGTTACAAGATATCATATACTTGAATCGCGACAGACGCACCCGCGTCTCGTTATTCTCAACGTTCGTACGGTTTGTATAAGAGTTTTGAAGGAAACGTAGTTAGCTTTTTTCTTTCTTTCTTTTTTTTCTATCTCGATCACTCGGCATCTTTCGTTACCGCAAAATCGAAGACGCCGGTGCTCTGCTGCGCGTACGCTTTCCAGTTTAACGCGCTCGTTACCTCGTGTAATCGTCCATAAAGAGATTGCGTTATCGCGCAGTTGTAAACACTTTTGTTTTGTCGTATCGTTTGTTCCTCGAACGAACAGCTTGACACAGCGTAAGAGAGCGAGAGAGAAGATAAAGAAAAAATATCATCCTTCGATCCGAGAGAGGGTCGACGATGACGATATCGTACCTGTCTCCTCGATTTTTGTTTAGAGATTGGTTACCGTTCTTAGCGGTCCGTTGGTCTGTAGGTATCAGGCTTGGACGTTTAGTATCATCTTGAGATTTGATATATCGCAACTTCTGTTGGATTGCTGGCAACCGATCATCAGTCTCGCGGTCCAATGGCTCGGTGGTTTGGGAAGGCTCGCCGGAGACGGCGGCTCGGAAAACTTGGCACCCGCGTAAAAACTGTTGGTCGGGCTGCCGCGCGGACTGTACTCGTACCGCAGCGGCGAGTTCCTCGATCCCTTCGACGAACCTTGCGGACTGCAGCTCGATCTGCCGCCGGTCGAACTTCTACCATGGGATGATCTACCATTGGTGTTTGCGTTGTTGTTGCAGTTGCTGAAGAATGTTGACGATTTGATTGCACTTGAACGATGGTGGTGACGTTCGACGCCGACGTTCGGCGAGCCCTGCCGGCCTACTTTGTTGTTCAATTTCGGTACCGAATTCGTCATGATTGCCCTTTTTCACGGTACTTCTGCTGCTCTCCCGTCGCTCGCGATCTCGATCAGTCGACCCGTCTGGAAAACGAATCGGTCTCTTAAGCCGGTATTCAGAGTCGTTACTTATATCTACGATCGTCTTAAGCATTTGTTTAAGTCCCTGTTTCCTGTACAAACTGGAAATATGGGATAGACAGGAATAGCAAATGCTTAGGATGATCTTAACTAAGATTCTTAAGAATAAGCAACGACTCTCAATACCGGCCTTAAAGCTAGCATACGCGAATGTAAGATTCGTGTACATAAATAAAACGTGACGGTCGTCGACGCGAAAAGCTTCCGGTAGAAAATCATTTCGTCATATTCGCTCCGTGTACGAAACCGTTCACCATATGGGGAGCGTGATTAAGCTCGGACGGAATAACGAGCATAACCATGAAATACGAGTGATCGATGACGCTACATCGCGTCTCTTTCGATAAGAAATTTCGAATACAAGGTAAGAGGAACGATAATGAATATGTAAACTCACCGTAGAATGTCCGCGGGCCACTTTCTACAGCAGTCAAGCTTTCGTCGACGTTCGTATTCGATGATTTTTCTAACTGCGCAATAATCACGGGTCCAGGGCAAATCCAGGGTAGGGGGAACGCGGAGGAATAAACTTGGTGGGGTATCCCACGAACCTCCTGTGAGCGCGATGCTACCTCGCCCCGCTTGCTTCGAGTTCTCTCGCAGTCCTCCCTAATTGCGTTTTTCTCGAATTTGACCACATTCGGTGACCGTTGGTCACCTCCGTATGCACTTTTACTTCTCACCGAACGAAATCACACGCGTATGGATCGAATTCTATCTCTCTTTCGCTCAATCTCCCTCTCTCGCTCTCTCTCTCTCCCTCTTTCAGTGTTCGCTTATCGCGAAGCGCAGCTGGAGAGGTACAAGATGGCGAACGACACACAAGTTGTTTGTTTTTTCGCTGCCTCGCACGGAATTTCTTCAAGTTTCACACGCGCGCGTACACATACGTTTCGTGAACGCGAGAGATTACTTTTAACGGCAAATAACTCGTCGTCGTGATGTGCTCTATATGTACGCGCACCGAACGCCACGTTCGTTGTTTGTGTCTCGAGAAAACCCGGATCGCTTCGAGCAGCGGTCGATTTCTACCTTCTCTTCAACGCTCGTTTCTCCGCGCTTTTTAACCTCTCCTCTCGATAATTTCACCAACGCGCACAACACCCGCTGAAACCGGATACTGCGATCGAACTCTCGTACTCTCACTCGTAAACTACGTATGTGCTCTCAAGCTGGCTGGGCCCGCTGCCCGCTTCCAATACTGCTTCCGTCTGTGTGAACGAACAGACCTGCTCCACTGTGGCTTTGGTCAGTCTTCGAACCAATTTCACGTCACATGACTTGCCTCAACCAATCATATCGTTCTTTCCTCGACCATTCTCGGCTTTCTTCGTGCAATTCGTTACGCTACCTTAGAGACCTTTACAAAGATAAAAGTTTTACGACTTTTCAACGTCACAATTATCTGTGCATTTTTTTGATCCATTTCAATACTTTGTATCTTTAATTTTGTCATTGGAATTCATCGAATGAACTATCAACGTTGGACGTAACGATCGGAAGGTAGGTTCGCTGCCTATTGGTCGAGCGTCAAATGCGTAGTACCTATTTAGTACGTAACATGTATGTCCTTATTGTCCTTATCGGTGTAAATCCTGTATGATCTAACGAATCGTTTTATACCGTTTATCGTTTTCTTCTATAAAAATTCATTGAGTCGATCGTCCTTGTCAATTACAAACGAAAAATCTGTACATACGACGCAAGATGAAAAGAATTCCCGAAACCCCGTGTGTACTGTACGACATACATACACATACTTACATACATAGTATATGTTTATGCTCTGGTCATCCCCTCCCACACTATTGACTTGATCTGTTTATCATTTTACGTAACTATAATTATTGTTTACACAGTATTGTTCCTCTCTAATTAATGGCGATTAATTACGGATTCACCATTTTATTATAGACTCCGAATCGAATGGCACGTGGAGGATACTGTTCTTTCAGTTGGTAATCGGTGTAGCGTGGACTGTTTTGATGGATCTTGGCTTGACAAATGGTAAATATACTCAATTCGATTGAAGTGTCCTTTGAAGTAAAGTAATGGAGACTTGGAAAATAACTAAAGGATTGTGTAAGAGTAAATTATAATTTTCCTTCATTCCTCCATTCCAGTTTGCATTTTCGTTCATCCTTGGTCATGGCTGATAGCTGGTTTCTGGCATCCCACAACTTTTGGTAAGTAGCTGGCTCCTGGCATCCCACAACTTTTGGTAAGTAGCTGGTTCCTGGCATCCTTCAACTGTTGGCTTATGGAAGGAACATCAATGAAGGTTTTAATCACAGTGAGTCACATGCTTTTATTCTCTCCTGGCTTATACTTGTTTGATGAGCATGGGGACCCCGAGTATTTAAATATTATTTTATAGTTTGTAATTGTATATTTAATAGTTTGTAAGCCCATCATTGCCCACCGTGCACGACGTAATCTTTGCCTCGTGTGTTTGTGTGACTTGTATCAGTGCTCTTTACAATTGCACGTCTCTTTCCATTATTATTTTTCATTTCTCGAAGCAACGCTTTGAATGAAAGAACCCAGTGTATGTTTGACAGTGCATTTTGTGTAGTATATGTATTTTTTCTACTACACACAATAAGTAACGAATAGTTGCACGTGCGAAGTGTACTTAACAGATTATTTAATTCGGAAAGTTAATATAATAATTTGCTGTAGCAGCCAGTTACTAATGAACGGTACGTATATACCTCAAAGTGTGAATCTGTTTGTATGTTAAACTCGGGTGTGGAGTCGTCCCGAGACGACTCCCGTAGACCCTTGCATCCGAGCAGGTGAGAGCCCGTACGTACCGTCGTGCCGTATGAGTCTGTTGATTTGTCTGTTATGCCTTTCTTAAATGTAGGAGAGTTAGGCAGGCAGGTAATAGACTTCTGGTGCGTCTAAATACCATATAAGTAGGTAGTGACACATTCTCACTCACGTCTCTTTCCTTTCGCCGTGTCCAGCCTGTTTCAGGAAATTTGCGTTCGAGACGAAGCACAAATGCACGGACCCGTGATTTTTGGATCCAGTCTATCCGTGGTTCCAATTGAGGCAAAATCGACTGAAGAAAGAAGAGGCTATGGCCGAAGGGGACTGGAGTGCCACGTGCATCTTTGAAAGAGGGCAACTTTCAATGACTGTGTATTTAGAAATTATGTTTATATAATTTCTCGGGGTCGTTTTAAGGAAAAATGCAACAGACTTTACGCAACGATATATTGTTTATTGTTACAAAATGCTTCGCAGAGCGTTAGATTTTATTTAATATCGCATAATAAGGCTACACCGCGAAGAATCCAGAAGTCCGGCGGTCTCAAGGTTTGTAACCAGAGTGGTGTCACCATTAACACGTAAGTCCTTTGCGGTTTTTTGTAAACTGGACACTGAACATTATCATAGTCAATGAGATAAAAATTGATTACCATTTATCGTACATAGAATAAATTTAAAACCATCCGCGTTTTTGCTTTTACCTGATACAGTTTTGGATCTTTGTCGGGAATATTATACAGGGCGAAAATGTGTACCACTGGCATCAACACGTACAGAACTTTGTTCGCAGATTCGCATAGTCTGTTGTTTCTTTTGTCCCAGCCAGCTCCCTCGAGAAATAGTCCGTACACGTAGACTCCCTCCTAACAGAGAATAGGCAATCGTCGAGTAGATAAATTCCGTACATGACTATGTTCGCAAACAAGGAACGCGTACAACGATACTGACAATAAGTCGCGAACGTACCATGGGCGGAGTTTTAATTTCGTCCGCCGTATAACGTAAAACATCGTTGTGCAACGTCACATTGTCCAAGGCCCATCCCTTGTGAGTTCTCGTCACCTCTTGCCTCATCGCGGTCAAAAATCCTGCGAGATGCAATTGAAATTCGATTCCCTCGTACGTCGCAGGAACAGAGAGCGACGTCGTTACGAATCGTATTGACGATAATAATATGTCTATTAGAGATTATCGCGTGCCTTGCGGATTGAAGAATCCTGTCATCCAAAATTTTGCCGGTCTCCCAGAGTACAGCCACGTAGAGAATTGCTTGTTTCTGTCGAGTAGTTCGGTGAACCAAAAACCGAGGGAAGAAGATTCCCACGACTTCGCTCTCCATACCTGCGGTACTCGGGCATCGTATAAATTGTCGAGTGCGTCCCTCAATTCCTGAACAGAGGGTCACATGCGATGAGTCACCGTTTCGTTCGGAACATCGTGCGCGTCGTTCCGAATCGAGTTACCTCGCTCATGATGATTACTCCTTCTATAGCGAGCAGAAGATCTTTCAGAGTAACGTTTACCAATTTAATAACTACTTGTATCCTGTCGATCTCCTGCTTCAAAAAAATGGTCATCGGTGCCGTGGCTCCCAAGATCTGCAATCTGTCGATTAGCGGTAGACGTTTGAATCGATTCGGCTCGTGCACGATCGTGCAGATCGTCCCGGACGCGTACGAGACAATGGTCGATCGTATTACTGTACGAATCACCGTCCCACTTGCCTGTTCTTCACTTCGAACGGATCGTACGAGGGAGGCAACCTCTTCAACATCTCCTGGGCCTGTTTGGCCACGATTACTTCCCTCGACTCGGCACCGGCCGCACCCGCCTCTTTCGGTTGCACAGATATTATGGTGTCCAACACGGCTTGCGTGGTGTTACCCATGTAACTGCAATGCGACAAGTTTCGTACGAGGATCCACTGACGATGAGTGATCGAGGCGAGGTGACGAGCGATACGTACGTAATGTTCGCGTTTGGATGCAGACCGTAAACCTGCGGCGGATCTATGGGGCTCATCTCGTCTATCACTTTCAAATAGTCGACGACTTGCTTCTGAATCAGTATTGGGTAGCCCTTATGAAATACGAAATCTTCTGCGAATATCGCGTCCGAGAACCACGTCTTGCAGAAAGTGTTCAACAACCTCTTGTCGTAGTCGTCCGTGACACGTCCTCCGTACTGCACTTCTCCTATCATGTACCTGAAAATCGGATCGCGTGAAAGTTTTCAAACGTTTCCGCTTCCCGGCGATGATTGCGTCGCGCGTAACTAGGAATGCGAGAAGAGTTAGGAGAGAAAAATTAAAGTCTGATCGGTCCTTTTTATTCCACTTTCGCGTCATCGGTGGTACCGGTCACTCTCTCTCTCTCTCTGAGTACCTCACAGTCAGCCAACTTATTCCCTGCTTCACGTCGAACTCGTTGAGGTGATTGTTGACGAACATGCAGGACGCTAGCCAGTCTGACATGTTGAACTCGTACGGTATATTCCAGCCGAGCGGCCCGAATTTCCTCCTTTCTTGAACGATCGTGTGTAAAAACGATACCGCGTAGATCATTGGTATGTACTGCCATGCGTCGCATTGATCCAACATATCCTGATTCATCCCGCTGTAAGTGGCAAGCAGACCCGCCCTGATCCCTGCGGATGGAAAATATAGAGACACAGACAGGCAGACAAGTAGATACGTGCGTGAAGCGGTTGGATACGCGATTTTACCTTGCGGCGGTTCGTACGTGTATTTTATCGACATTTGCAAAAGCGATATCGGAAAATCTTTGTGCGGTTCCGTGGTGATCCATATACGGAAATTAGGATGCGGCTCCTCCATCTCTAAAATAAAGTTGACCAACTCGGCCATGTAGTCCAAGCCCAAGTGGCAATTTTGGCACAACGCCCAGTAGCCCTGGGTACGTCAAAAGTTTGTTTAGAATTTCGTGGTTCAGGTAATTGAACGATCGATCTTTCGAAACGTGAACCTCTGTCTTTGCGCTTTGAAGCAGCCTTCGCGCGTGAACCTCCTGTCCCTGACCCATCGAGATGCTCCTGCAAATGATCTCTAGGTTCTTGGCGAGCTGCTCTATGCTGGGTGTGGGATCGGATCCCATGCTGAGAAAGCAGATCATGGGGGTGTCCGGTCTCGATTCCTCGTGCATCACGTCCAGAAGAGTAATCACAGACTCTGCGTATCTCTCTCCCAACGCACTCGATATGTACTTGCGCGACTGCGACAACGTTCTGTCTATGCACCACGCTCTACGACATTCGAGTGATTCGTCTGATCAGTTCGTCAGGTGCAGATCGTATGTGTTATGCGCGGCGGTTTTTACGCGTCGATTGAACCGACCTGATGAGTAGCAAACGACGGAAAGTATCTAAATTGTTGTAACCGTCTGGTATCTGTTCCTCTTCCGGAGCCGCTCTGTCGAACCAGTGTTTCCACTGTCTCTCGTTGGCCGGCACTTGACTCGTGATGTACTGAAATTGTCTAAGAGCGGACAGCGCGATCAGGTTCAACCAGGTGACGTCGGTGATCCATTTGCAAGGTTTCGGAGCGACCGCGTTCAGATCCAATGCCGCCCCGCCTTTGATTAAATACTGAAACTCGTCGTGAGAAATAGCGTCGCGTTGCAAGTCGATCTTCAGTGTCATCAGCAGAATGAACGTGTATTTGTGGATCTCATAGAGGCCTCTCGCCTTGTACCGAAAGATCTCGTACGTGAGGTACTCGATTATAAAATTGATTCGCCTCTGATTTACGGGACTCTTCTCGGACCTGCACGATGCACAGGTTTCCCAATTGAGATAGGCTGCGTCGTGTTCCTACGCGTTTATATGGTATCGCCGGACACTCATGGTCGGATTACCTTTCCATGGAAATGTCAAAACGTTCTAAGAACTGGACGAGCGATGTCTGATACATGCAATTGACCAGAGACATGTCGCAGATCAGGAAATATAGAACGCTACCGCGTGTCGCGACTGGTCGGAATTCTTCGCGCGCCGTGTCGATTCGCAGTTCGGTGTCCTTAGCGATGCTCAGCTTCTCGTTGATCTCAGCCGCGGTGTGTTTCGTGACGTTCAGTACGGACATCAGTTCCATGTCCTCTATCAGGGGTCCCTGGAGTCCGAGTGAAACGCGCATAATTACCAAAATTCGTGCGAACGGACGAGATCACGCACCTCGACGGTGGTCAACTTTTGCAAGAGATTAGCCTCGAGCTCCTTGATCTTCCGATTGTTCGCCGTTACGTCTGCTATCAGCTGCGTCTTTTCTGTCTCCAGTTCCTTCTTCTCCGTGAGGATCACTCTTCCCAGTAACTGATCTTCCAATCCTAATTAAAGTCGTGACAGAAACAGACCGCGTATGTACGTTTCATGAATGCGTCGGGTTGAATCGGGAAAATTACCTTTTAACGTGACCGTAAAATCGATGATGGCCGTGCGAGCAAATATCTCCGGAGTGTAGGCGGGATTCGGCAACTTGGTGGTGATGTAGAGCCTGAAATCTTCGTGAATGTCCACTTCTTTGTCGCCTAGTTTTACCTGTTTACCGCGAACGGAAACGGGACGCGTGGTCACGGTCAGAGGAGGGATATTATTTTTCGAAATTCGCGTCGGTTCACCTTCAAGGAGGTTCCTATCTTTATGAAATTCTTCTCTAAGAGATTGTCCAAAACGGGATCCAGGTCCTCGGCCACGTCCTCGATCAACAGCGGCCGACCCAGAGAAACGCAGTCCTCCAAATGATTTCGGAAATACTTATGCGTGAGCAGGGTGGGTTGCAATTGGAGTTCCGCTTCCTTTTTCTTGATCCACGCCTTTCCTTGCAACTGTGGATCGATCAACAACGGATACCTGGTTGCTTGCGTGACTATGATTCCGTTCTGGATGGACAAATCGTCTGTCGGTAAACCTTGCAGGCTCCATTCTCCGATCTTTTTGAACGGAAAGAAAATCGGGGGGAGTTCAGAAACGTGTTCGAGTCCGTCGAGCGCCCGACAGTTTGTCGTAGTTTTTGTTTTTACTAACAGTAGCGGTGTCGGTCAAAGTGGCCGTGATATTGATCACTATAGAAATGGGAATCTTTCGTCCCTGTATAAAACTGAACCACTCCCGTTGCAGCGTAGTCCTGAATTCCTGATTGAAAGGTCCGCAGTAGCAAAGGAAACCCATAAGAACTATCGCGTCTCCGACCAGTCGATCCGTTTCCGATTTAAACATCGCCAGTTGCTCGGTCCATCTAACTCTCTCGCCGGAGAGGCCGTCGATCATTGCCGTGGCAGTGTCCATTTTGGCTTGGCAAGCGTCGGCCAGGTCGACTATTTCCTAAGAGAGAAATTCTCACTGTTCCGTTACGGATTTTACTCGATGCTCATGACCGATCGATCGCTCACTTGACGTTCCTCCATGACCGCGTCGAACTCCGTCTGCACCACTTTCAAATCCTCGTCTTTGGCTCTGAGGTGGTCTTCGGCTTCCATCAAATTTCGGTTCGCTTTCTCGTACTTGCTCTCTTGCACGGCCAAGTTCGCCTGCGAATCGAAGTTATCGATTTAGAAACCGCGGATCCTGAGACCGCGATCAGTTTTCAGATCTCGTACTTTCAGGGGGAGAACGTCTTTGTTTATCCCGTAGAACGTGACCATCGATATGGTCCACTGGATGAGGCCAGCAACATTTCCGCAAGCCTGTTTCGCGGCTTCGTACGTATATAAATGATAATTCAAGTACGGTTGCATCAGGTCGACCGTCTCGGCGTTGATGTTGTCTTTCGGGAAATTTTGCAAATTGAACAGGAACCTGGTATCGGCCATCATCTGCGAAGTAGCAGCAGATCTTCGTCTTCGCGGTCAGAGACTCAGTCGGCAGTCGTACGTCAAAGATCGTCCGTGTTGGAACGAAAACGCGGACGATCTCGAACTCACGATCGGCCTCTCGTACGTCGTCGTCAGAGATCGACGAACGATACCTTCAGAGCCTCGGACCACGAAGGGGTCAAGAACTGCTTGTCGTAATCAGGCTTGACCGATTCCAATTTTCTCCCAAACAATATCAAGACACAGTCCATGATTAGCGTGATCAAATACGGCGGTTTGCCCAGTTTCCTCACGGTGGCAATATCAGCTCCTTTTATAGTCTGCAATATTTTATTTTTATTAAATTACCCATCGACCGTCGTCGTCGTCGTCGTTTGGATCGCGAGACTCGGACGCTGCTCGATGTAACGTGTCTGACCTGTAAAGCAGCTTCCGCTGCCAATAGAGCAGGCTCGGCTGCTTTCAATTTCTGTTCCGCTATCGCCTTTTCCTTCGCGATTACTTTTAATATATTTTCCGCCTCGTCCTTCGATTGTTGCACTTGCGCCTTCACCGTCTCCGCCTCTCGCTTCTTCTCATTCACGGTGACTAGAATCTGGCGGATCAGGCGATGAGAAAACGCAACTGTGTACTTAACGGCGGTCAGTGGCTCGATTCGCGAGAGATACGAACCGCTTCCACTTGCACGTTCTTCTCCGCGATCTCTTGTTGATTCTTCTCTAAAATTTTACGCAACTCGTCGACCTGTGCTGCGGCGTCGACCAATTTGTTCAAACCGTTGCTCATACGGAACGCCAGAGTGTTGATTTCGCCCAAACGTTCCCCATAGAGCCTCTTATAACCGCTTAAGAACGTGAGGAACGATTTCGGAGTGACGTACACTTGCCTTCGGAATCTGCACGTGGAGAAACGTTGCTGGTACTCGTCCCGAACGATGTTAACGATAAAAGAACCGCGGAAAATTTGCGGTCCAGAAACGAATAATCGGTCAATGGGGTACCTGTCGTAGTATTTGCCGCACGTATCGTTCACTTCGTCGTGCACATCCCCCATGACTTCGATCAGTTGGTTCTTCACCTCCGGAGTACATATTATTTTGAACTTGTCCAAAACGTGGCTGCTGACCTCGTACAGAGCGTCTCTTGGCCACCTCCAGAACCAATTTATCGTGCAGCCGGATATCAAAGCAGGAAACTTCAATGCTCGGGACCTGAACTTCTCGCCGACCTGCGAACCGCGAGCTCACTCGATGTCTACGTACATGTACACACGCATACGTGTATAACGAGGTGTGCGACCCACCGGTGAAAAGCATAATACTACGTGCAATTGATCTCTCGCACGAGTCAGGAAGAATTCGTATAGATTGTCTGGAGTGGGCGGTCGTCTCGGGTCTTCGCTCTTCATTATCGGCGTCACCGTCGTCAGGACCTCGTCCAGCTCGTCCGCTGGAAATAAGTTCGCGACCTCGCCGACGCTTAAAATGTTGTTGATGTACTCAAGAAAGGCTTCCTCTTTTATTTCATTGTCGGTGAATATGAAGGTCTGCCCCTTGCTCCCTGTACCGGCTGCGCGGTACACTTTTCTCAGATCTTCCATCAGACTCGTCACGGTGTAACTCCTAGAACGACGAGAGGCGATCGACTCATTGAACATGGATCTCGATCGAGTAACGAGCTCGAAGAGTCGAACAGTCCTCGATCCTTGATCCTCCGTTTGTTACCTCGACAAAACTATTTGGAAGAAGCTGAAGCCGGCGATGAAAGAGGCCAGCCGGGTCAAACTTTGTTTCCCCGAACCTCCGACGCCTACGAGCATCGCGTTGCCTCGGGGAACTCCGAGAATTCTCGATATTCGAATCAAGTGTACCAGAGCGTCGTGGAAGAACACCAGATCCAGATGCATGCCTCGAATGTACTCGTTGAACTGTTCCATGTTTTGTTTCACTTTCACGATTACCACGTCGTAGCTGAGTAAATCGAACGGTTCGAAGGCAGACAGATCAACGTTGCGACTGTTTTTCGCGAAGAATCGTACCTAGGGATCTCCTCGTAGATCTTAGGTGCCTCGAATACGAAATCTTCCGGCTCGTCTCCGGTCGGTTCCGGTGGTTCGCGTAGAAAATTCACGAAATACGTTTCCACGGGGTCATAGAAGTTGAAATCGGGACCCAACATTTTCTCGGCTGTTCGCCGAAGATTGTTCCTGAACCACACGGTGTCGTCGTTGGTCGTGAACCTGATCGCGAGAGAAGAGATTCGATGCTTGAACCATTTAGACGACGCTGTGTACGCTCGTATCTATCTAAATATGTCCGACCGATCCGCGATCACGCGAGTGCACTCGTGTTCCCAGAGCCTCAACAATCGGTTTATGGTATTGCACTCAGCCGTTTCGATCCTGAGCATGCCTTCCCAAATTCGCGACAGATCCCTCAGGTTGAAAACGTAATGGAATTTCGCCGGTGTCGGCAACATTTTTATCTTCGTTTGCTGCCACACGACTCTTGTCAGTGGTATCAGTTTCGGCACAAAGTCCACTATGTTCTCCTCAAATCTGGTTTCGCAGAAGTAGCCTTGCCCGATGCTCCCTAAACGTATCGTTTGATGTATCGTACCACCGTTCCATGTTTGAGTATACAATGTACACATGGGATGGGAGGAAATCGCGTAGCAATCGACGCGCTCGGACGATGATACGTATAGATTTTACGGTCATACCTATGACCTGATCGCATGTGAAATTTGTCTCTTACTGAAAATTGTATCCATGGATTTGTTGGAGGGGAGGGTACAATTGAAGATGTTGAACTGTCTCTTCAATCTCGGGGGTATATCGTTTCTACCACCGCCAGGGTGAATCATGCCGGCCAGTAATTGAACGTCTTGTATGTAGGAAAAATCGCCGGGTTTATCCAGAGAATAGAACCCTTTGTATTCCATCAGTTGGCGGACTATCTCGTTCGTTATTTGATCGCCCCATTCGTTGATCTCCGGCATGTTGATATCGTCGATGAAAATGGTCATCTTGCGGCCACCCGGTGGCCCGTAAGTGGTCCCGACCCTTTTCTCCACGTAGCTCTCGAACACACGCTGAGGGGCATCGGTTAAAATTATAAATTGGTCGCTTCGAAAACGATGGTCCTATGCGCGATAATTACTTGAACCATGTTCGGGGTAGACGCCGACGAGAAGCTGAACGATTTGTGCAAATGTTCCTCGGGATCGTAGTTGGACATATAGCTCTTGATCATCACGGTTTTCGCGGTTCCTTGCTCCCCTACAATTTTTTTACGTTCCCTCTTCGATGTCGGTCGATTACGAGATAACGTCGCGTCCCGTCGAGCATACCTATCAGTAACACGGCTTTCCCTTGTTTCGCGATGGTTTCGATCAGGTACAAGGTTCGAGCGTTATCTATGTTCGGTACCAGTATGGTGTGGTAGCTGAGAACTTCGTCCGAAGGGTAGATGAATTCGGGGACTCTTTCGCTCCAGTGCAACCAGTATCCCTCGTCCGACACCAGATACTCGAAGATGGTCTCGTCTTCCTGAAACCGCGACGGCCAAAATTAAACGTGACGATACCCGTGCGATCGTTCGTCGTACGCTTCGTCGTTACGTGACACTTGGGCCAGTGCAACTTCGATTCGTGACCGAGCACGAATTCTTGCAGCGCGCCACGTTCTTCCAGTTCCAACGCTGCTCCAAGACTCCACATCATCGCGAACAGAAACGCTCTTTCGAGATGGTACTCCGAGAGAACCTCTGAAATTTAAGTGCCACCGTTACATTTCCGTGAACGCGCGTACGAATGTGGTCCCGCGACAGATCGCTGCGACTCACTGTCTTTGCCGACGTCGAGTAGACCGTCCAGCAAGTCGATGCACTGTCTTATGTACATAGCTTCTAATAGTTTCATTTTAAACGGGAGCTTCGTCTGAACGAAAGTGTGAGCGTCGTCGTATATTTTATTGAACAGAACGTCCAGTACGTCCGCTTGCGCAGTCGGTTGCCTCTTGAACCATCCCTGATCGTTCGCGCAAAAGGGTCGATGATAGATCGAGTAACAAGGCGAGTACAAGGAACAGAAAAATCGAACCCTCAATTACCTGTAAAATGGGGTACCACTTGAGGACGGACGCGCTCATGAACACCATCCCCATACGCGATATCGTGGCTGGCGACGCGTTGTCCACGTTGTCCGGTTCGAAGACCAATTTCGTGTTCGGTGCCATGATTATTCGGTCACCGTTTGCCAACGTCAATGTTTGATTATCGTCCAACACCGAGTTCAAGTTCTCGATCCATACGGCGTCCACGGGTCCGTCCAGAACCATCCATAGATTGTCGGTCTTCTTCGTGTGCGTGGATTTCCTCCATATGATAGAGAAAATTCCGTCCGTCCAGTCGTTTGTAGCCACGTCCAGCCTCCCGAACATTTGAGACGCGGTTATAGCCTGATCGGTCGAGAAACCGTTCATGAGGAATCTGATTGGCTGTGATCCGACCCCGTCCGCGAAGCAGACGCGATCGTTTATACTTTACGGCTCAGTTCGTGGTAATAACTTTCGGATTCATTCTGACTTCTTTGTGGGGGCTACCCAACTCCGTGAGAGCTTTCATCAGGGCCCACATGCATCTCGTTTTCCCGGCTCCCGTGGGTCCGAGCACCATCAATCCGTGACGGACCAGAGACGTCTCGTACAGCTGAAAATAAATTCTCGTACACCGTTTCGTTCCGACCATACCCGCATGTATTTTAAGTGTACGACGATGCGTACTTGAATCGTCTTCAAGTTCCACTCTGGATGATTCATTATACCAAGTGCAACGGTCGCGTTTGCGATCGCCTTTTGCAGATCCTTGTACGTTTGCACTCTGAGCCTTATTCCCGGGAACATGTCTTCGATCAAGGACATGAACAAGGGCTCGTCTTCGTCGACCAGCTTCGACAGATTCATGTCCCTGTCGCGTGAGAGCAAATGCATTTTTGAACCAGTCATTCTGCTCGACACAGCGATCGATGGTAGCAACGCGTCTCGCGTACTGACCAGTCTAAAGAACGTGTGCATCCGTAAGATCTCACCTCAATACTCTCATCAAGGTGGTCTCTTCGGAGTCGGTGGGATTGGCTCGTTTCTGAGCACCGAGAGTTCTCAGACAGGACAGTATGTTTCTCAGACCAAAGTCGTAATGCACCTGCTTGCTCAGCTGTTCCTCGCATAGTTTGTACAGGGTGAAAAATTTTCGCGCCAACATGACGTTCTCTTTGAAACCACAGGCTGCTAGTTTTACGCGCATAATTATCTGAATGGCACGACAGACCGACTGTTATCGAGTATCGACGGGACACGGTGTCGTTGGATAAAGAGCAGTACTTGTCTGTCGGGAACCATCATGGCGACGCTTCGAAATTGTATTTTTAAATTTTCCGGCAATTCTTGACGACCGGCGTAGCCAGGGTTCATCGTGATGAAGATGCCGAACTCCGCGTTTATCTTGTACGTTTCACCGTCGCTGCGTGAACACGTCGACGAGGTTCGAGGGTGAAAATGTAAACAGCGGTGAGCTCGGTAATCGCGCTTACCTGAAAACGAAACTCGACTTCCTCTCTCTTCTCGCGGCGAGCACGATCGCTATTTGCTGAGCAGCGACCGAGAGCACGGGCAGATCGATGCGATTGAACTCGTCGAAGCATCCCCAAGTTCCAGACATGGCCAGTCCCTTGAATATTCTGCCCAAACCGCGGAAGTCCATCTGGTCCGAGCAGTTGAACACCACCACGTATTTTCCGAGAGCTTTCCCCATGTCTTTGGTGGTCTCCGTCTTACCGGTGCCGGCCGGTCCCGCGGGTGCACCGCCGAAGTTCATACCTGGAGACACGCGTATCGAGCTCGTTCGCGTTACGAACCAAAATGCACAACGATCGACGTACGAGCGCGTGAACGACTCTCGTCTCTCGCGTCTGTCGAACGTTTTATATTTTTCTACGAGCGTAACGTCGTAACAGATGATCTCTCACCGACGGCCTGAGCCAAAGTAATGTAGCATCTGTCGGTGAGAGGAGTGATCGCTAGTCTGTCGGTGCAGCCTAAAAATTCGTTCTGATAAACGAAATCTATGTCGGTGATCTTTATGGGGACGTCTTCCGTTTCGGGGTCATAATAAAATCTGCATTGCTTGAGCCATTCGAAGTCGTTCACGTTGCGAATCCTCAAACGACAGAGATCGTCGAATATATCCCTGGAAATTTTAGCTTATTGAACGAACATTCGACGATAGTTTTACGAATTCGGTACGCGATTTCACAATGATGCGAGGCCACACCTCTGGTGCACGTGGATTGTGATCAGAGCCTCGTATTTCGATCTCGCGTAGGGAGTCAAGTCTTTTACGGTCACTTCGATAAGACTGTTTAGTAGATCGAGGAACCATTGGTTCGTTCGCTTCATTATGGTCCTGTCCCGCTTCGCCGTGTTCAGTGCTGTTTCCGAGTCGCGAGTCCACAGAACTTGCAGACCCAGCAGACCCACCTATTCGGACGTGAGATCATGTTCAGACGTCGTACATTAGGAAACGGGTGAGAAAGTCGAAGTCTCTCGACGACGTACTTGTAGAATCGAGTTGTCTATCAATTGTATGGGGTCGAAGTCCTCGTTCGCGAAGGTTTGCAAGCCCTGCGAGATCACGCTGCCCACCGAGAATTGATGAGCGTCTAACAAAGTGTTCAACCAGTTCTCCACCCCTCCCGTGCACACCACGTCTTTCTCCAGTACGACTTTCTCGTCCTCCCGCGAATACATAGCCACGATCCTCTCATACTCTTTCTCGTGAAACTCTAACTGTAAACGGAAAGCTGGTTCAGCCGGGATCGAATCTAATATCGGAGATCAAAGTTGTTTCTCATTACGCTTTTAACGTTGTCGAAGAAACCGTCGAGATAATTTTGTATGGTGTGGCAATCGGCCGCCTGGCCGAGTATCTCCAGTAACGTGGGATCGGATATGAAACAAAATCTTGGGAATATGCTTCGTTTCGTCTCCAAGTATCTGGTGAAACGCATTCGATTAATTTCTCGTCCCGCTACAGACAAACTAATTTCTCTACCCGCTAAGAGATTTCTGACACGATTCCAATTGTTCCAACAAATGGGGTAAGAATTGTCCCATGGTCTCGTCACCGGTACACGTTTCCACCGCGTTCACTCGTTCGCGCGCTCTGTACATGATCTTCGCCCAGGCCTTGTCTATATTCTGCAACATTCACCGTTCCACGATATCAGTGTATACCGTGTATCGTCGTCGATCTCGGCGTTTCCATTCTGAATCCCTTTGTTCTGTTTTACATTGAAACGTTTCGCCTCCGCCGGAAGCTGTTTGGATATATCGCCACCGATGAACACAGCTTCCAAATAGGCCCACAAGTTCTGTACGGTCAGCCACTTGGCCAGAATCTCGGAAGTGTTGCTGAGTTTGCTCTGCCATAGTTGTATATCTTTCTTGAACGGCTGGTTATACCTGACGATTCGGAAGAACAATTGGCAGCGGGTGGACGATGAATGCGAGGAGACACGATGGCTCTCGCTTACCGATTCGCCATCAGCGAACTGATGACCATTAAACTGTCCTCCAGTTGAGATACTATCTCGATCGTCTCCGTGCCTTTTAAAAGCAGCTCACCTCTCTGCTTGAAAGTGGAAAACTGCAGATCTACCGTGGCCCACTCGGCCACGATCTGTTTCAGTTTGCTCTCTATGTCCTGTTCCTTCACCGCACTGATACATATGTCCTACGAACGACCACCTCGTCATTAGAGAAATCGTTCGATCGATCAAAGATAAAAAAATATGCGCCGACGTATGTAAAACGTACTTCGACTTCGTCCTTGTACTTCAACAGAGGTGCCTGCATCACGTTGGCGAGCGTAAACGTGTCGGACTCGACGTCGAAATCGTACTTGCACAACTTCGACATTCTGTCCCAGTGCCTCTCCTGCATAGCTTTGTTCGCCATCATCTCTAACAACGGACACGTCTCGTTGAAGTCGTCGATCTTTTTCTTCAGCTCGATGTAAGCTGGCCAGTCTCTCATAGCTTTCGGTAATCGGCGACACCTGACGCAAATCGTTGCGTGGTAATAAGACGAACGGGTTTTTTATGCAAAACGATCCGACCTCGCGTTTTAACACTCGTAATTACGGTACGAACGTATCGGGGAGACAAATGACGAGACGATCGACGAGGGTAGATTCACCTGTTTTGGAACTCGCCTAATTCGGACACTATGGATTCTATGTCGATATCGGACCAGGGTATCTCGTAATAACTGTCGATGGTTCGTATCACCTGCAGATACAGGCCGTACAACTTTTGTAACAAATTGATTTCCCTCTTCCTCTTGTGCAGAGCAGGGTACTCGGTGATCTCGATTCCGAACAGAGCCTCGCCGCTACTGTAAGTCTCGTACTTCTCCCACAAGTCTTCCAATCGACCTTGGAACAGTATGAGTCTGGACAAACGGAAACGCTGTACTCGGCGTCGCGAAAATACGTAGGAGCACGTTCTCGCAGACGTAATACCGATCGCTGGCTTCTTTAGCTGGGATTCCCTCGACCATGGGCCCGTTTAATTCGAACTCGAGGTCAAAGTTGATCACGTCTTGTTTGAACACCGCGACACCGTCCGACAGTTCTTTCTTCAACGGTTCTTGCATCTCGCATATTTTCGCCTGTACCTGTTTCGCCTGATACCGACCAACTTATGTTCAGCCGTGAATGTTCGACGACAAGTAGACCGTATCGCCGATACTTACCGTATTCAACATATTCGTGAAATTGTATCTTAGACTGTCAACTATGTCCTGTTCCTCCTTGGAAACTGCAATTTGAAATCTTCCCATTAAATTGTACGTCTCTTCGATCAAGATCAGTTCTATGTCCAACGATATGAAATCGTCCCGTATCTCGCCCAAACACTTCATCGCGACCCTCACATCCTCCAGATCCTTTATCTCCCTCGCCAGAACTTTGTTCTTATCGTTGATGTAATCCGTGATCCTTTTCAATTTGTTCTTGTAGGTCGCTGACAAGTTCTGGCCCAATAATATTTTCCACATGCGCGCCTCGACCAGAAGAGCCAATTTCAATTTCTCTGTGGAAATGAAATTGAATGAATCACACGTACCGCGACCGAGAACGATCGCGACGAGAACCGTCTCGTTACCCATGCAAATCTCTATGGGACCGACTATGTGTTTTTCCGGTAAATTCTCAATCTCCGCGACGAGATCGTCGAACTCGACGAACTTCTCTTTGATCTCCTGAGTGATGGGCTCAGAGTAGACGAACGCTCGAACAATATTTTCCCTCTGTTCAGCCCATATGTACGCGTACTTCGTCGAGTACATCTGTTGTCGAGGTAGACACGGACGATAAATGAACAAATAAAATTATCGTTTGCCGAGGGACATTATTTTAATGAGCATCTAATCGAATTACGTTTGAGATCTGTAGGACATCTTCCTTAATGGCGAGGATCGCACCCTGCAGACTCATCACGCAGCGAACTATCTCTTTGTGATCCGATATCAGTTGATAATAATTTTTCAACGACGCTTTGTTTCCTGTGGAAGACAGAACTCGTTAATGAATCGTACAGCGAGTACGATGTTCGCGCTGCCGGTCGTAATTGTTCGGGAGACCAGACCGTCCGTTCCGATCGAATCTTCCCCGGTAAGATCACGCTGTCCCCACGCGGTGACCTGCCTGTGGTTCTCGAGAATACTGGTCACTAATTTTCCAAAATAGAGTTGCAGCTCTTCTATCGGAGGTTGCAGCAAGATGTTTGGGATTTGTAGAACGAATGTGGTCAACAGGATCGGCGTGAACATGTTCCCGTTCTTGTCATCTTCCGTCGTGTGACTGAACGACGTCACAAGAATTTCGAGTCGCGCTTTCATTTAAGACAGAAGGGAAAGTACGGTCGATAATCGATACCTTATGACAGTCACTTTTTTTCTCAACAGCTCGAGGGACCGTTTCGTGCACTTGACCAGAGCTTCGATCAATTTGTTGTGAAAGTACGCGAACAATTCCATACAATCGTTGTGCACCTTCTGGATCTGTACCTTGTGCGTTCTCTCGATAGGAGCAAAGCCTAAATAGTAATAGAATCGTTTGTGCAAATGCGTCGACTCTGCTTCAACGATACAGGAGTTCAATCGATACCTGGCTCGTATTTTCCTTTGGTCAACTTCGTCTGCGACGTGTGCTTGAGTACTTTATCGGGATCCAACCAGTTATACCTGATGTTTTCCACCGACTCGTCCTTCACGAAGTCCATGAACTTATTGATTATCGTCACGACGGCTTTTTCCGCTGCCGACGATTTTATTTCCAAATCCTCTCCTACGGTTTTCCCGTAAGCGATTTGATCGTCCAAGAGTCGAGACGGACTCTTCGGATGATCGTCGAGCTTTAACAGTATGACGTCCGAAACGGACTCGAAAACCTCGTCAACCCTCGCCTCCTTCATGTCCCGTATCTCCTTGACGAAGATCTGCATGTACGTGACGGCCGCTCGGATCTCGTTGCATATTTCAGTGATGTTCAAAGACGTCCACGTGATCACGGACAGGCAAGGTTGAAAAGCGATCTCGAGATCGACGAGGACGATCTTTATCAGGTTCAGGAACAGTATCGGTATATTCCGTCTAAAACACACAACGTTCGTCGTTCGTTCTGCCGTTTTTGTTCTCTATACGAGTTTGGAACATCGAGTAAGGCGAAACTACCTCAGCGCATCGTTCTCGTCGACGAGTCGCTTGACGGTCTCGTACGACGACAAGATCTTGTCCTTGCAGAACGTTATGATCTGTATGAAGTCGGGTACCTCCAGGTCGAACCTAGCCATGTGTTCTGACTCGCGTATTACTTCGATTATGTACGAATCGAAGTTCAGGTGATACTTATTCGTTTCTGGGTGCCTCACGATCAAAGGCGAAGCCAGTGCCAGTCGAACCTTTTGGGGTAACGCTCGTTACGGTCATTTTACTCTGTACCGATTATCTGGTAGCAGTCGTGCACTTACGATCTCTGACGAATCGTACCACGCTTTATGATATATCAGTTCGTAATGTATGAACACGCTGATCAAAGCGTTGTAGATCTTGATACACCTCTGCATGTGATCGTGGACGATCACTCGTTTGCATTCCTTGTAAATTTCCATCGGATTCTCTATACGTCTATAGAGCTGTCGGATCCAGAGAATGCGGCCCGCAATCGGCGGCACGTTCCGTGGTAACGGTGGATCCGATCTATCCTCGTTGTATCTATCGCGGACATCCTCGATCTCTTTTTGGAATAACGATATTAACTCCAAATACTTCCTGTCGATTCTCAGATGCTTGAACCGCAATTTTTGAAACCTGTGACACATTGAAATCGTCGTCACACGTTTGATGACGACGAACGATTAAGTTGATGGAACGCGCTCAATACGCTTTTAACATTTTATCATTGCGAACGCGGTTTCATGCGTCGAATCGACGGTCTGTTCGCGACTCATACAGTCGGCGAACGTCGACGTTACCTCGTTACGACTCTCAACGCCTCGGCTATGTTCGGTGTTTCCGATACGCATTTGTAAAAGAAATTCCTCAACTCGACCTCCGTTTCTTCCACGTTCTTCTTATAAATATCGTAATCGGTATCGAAGTACGGTTTCCTATGGTTCAGCGGATCGTAATCGTGCGACGAGATCTCTTGAAAGAAGCTCGAGAACTTTTTGGCGAACACGTCTATCCCCTGAATCGCCGAACCGTACAGGATCAGATACGTCAACGTGGTTTGAAACACGTCCATCAGCTAAAACGCGTAATTCGAGTAATTTCTGATCTCAAAGAATTATCACAACGAAGCTAGGCCGGCCAGTTCTTGTTTCTTTGTACTTATCGTCGAACGATTGCTAACTTTTATTATCCTCAACTTGAAGGTATTGAATTTCCCGAAGACGTACATCTCCGACACCTCGAAGGGTCTCTCGTCGGGAGATTCTCTCACTTGTTTGCACATCTCGTTATAGTATTCGTAATACTGTTCACACAGTTTGGTACAGTCCTGTAACGAGAAGAACGCGACGTGACACGTGTCTACTTATGTCGTTTACACGTTTAAGAACGTGTTTATGCGAATACGGTGCATTTGCCTTTATCTTCGATATCATCACGGATTTTGCTTCGTTCCAAATATTTACTTTCCCGTTCTCCGTCAAGTATGCTTTACACGCTAAGATCATTTGATTCGTCATCTGAAAAATCGAACAGATGGGATGTGACACCCGAGCGAGGGAGGAAGGAAGTAAGGAGGAGTCTCCCGTTGTTCTTATTAAATCGTTTTACTTTTACAAACACCGCCGTGACCATTCGTCTGGTATTGAAAAATCGCGAGGTGGCGTATATCATTCGGATGACGTACATGAGCGGCGGCAAGTATTCTCCCATTTTCGTTGGATCGAGTCTGTACAACGGCTGCGTAAACTTTTCTAACGCGTACAGGTATTTCACGTTATCCTGCGCTAGTATCTGTATCGTTTTCACGTGGTTCTCCAGCGTTCTCCACTTCTACGTTCGAAACGAATAAGACTGACGATGATACGCGACGAAACGTTTAAACCGTTCAACTATACATGTACGTACACATGTGCCGTACGTACCTTCATGCGCTTCGATTTGATCATTGTTAAAAAATTGAGATACGTTTGGGCGACGGGAGACTTGATATGTTCGATGATCGACGAGAATCGAGCGAGCAATCTTCTCCAGTAACTGAGTTCCGCGTTGGGACCCATCGTTTCCGTTTCTCTTCGTAATTGTTGGCTCTGGACGACGGCCTGAATTTTCGAACACCGTTTTACGGTCTGTAACTTTTTCTACGGGGAACGAGACGCGCGACGTGGAGATCGTAAAATTTACCCGTTCCATACTTTTCATCCAGGATCTGACGTTGTTCTCAATGGCTGCAATAGCTTCTGGATCAGTCAGGCTTTTTTTAACGTCTTCCGGCGTCGACAAGTACTTCTCGTAAATGTCCCGATCGATGTAGAACTTGATCGTGTTCTCTAGATCTAACTTGGTCACTGGGAAAAGACATATGCGGGTAGAAATCGCGGTCTGGTTCGCATTTAAGGATGTATTGGCTATACAGTCAATCCCAAAAGTTTATGTACCTTAGAAAAACGCATTTCCTATAATTAAAAAGAAATCAGACGTCGGAAGAATAATGCTAATAACAAATAGCTACGTGCTAAATAGTATAGAAGGAAATATCCAATTAATTATTGACGATTGCGAAAAGTTTATTATAC